TAAAAAATTATTTTTCAACAGAACTGGGTTTCCAGAAATCAGCTCGGGGAACTCCTTGGACCAAACTCTTATCACTCCTTTGGCTCAAGGCATCAGACGTTGATACCAATATTGCTTGACCCGTTAAAAAAAGTTAGCAGTTTCGACGAAAGAGAGAACAAGCCCAACACGAGACAAGCCAGCCTGATTGGCTGGCGTGAAATAAGAAGAAAGACGGAACCTTGGTACTGAACTGTCGATCCACCTTCCCTCTCCATTATGTGCCAGCCACACTTTGCCCGGAACAAGCGGTTCACACAGACACGAGAAGAGTGGGAAGGAGCAAAATTAGCCAGAAAATTGAGTTTCTTGATGAATCAGTTGTAAAACTATGACATATCCAAATGATGAACTGTTAAAAGAGTAATTTTCACTTTGATTAAACACATTATGTTTCAACTGTCACACTTGGCTTCAGAGCTTCATCGTCATCTTCTCCATTTTACTCGCTAGGAATCAAGTCCTTGCCAGGTAAGCCATAAATGTGGTCACTTTTGTGGTTATAATGAAACCCCATTTAATTGTTTACCAGGAGCCTTTGGTTATTTAAGTACCCGGATTTAAGAGGCTTCAAATAAACTTCCTATCATAGACGCCCCAGGATCACAGGGTAAACTTTGTTGTCAATTTTTGTCAGGCTTTGAGAAATATTTCAGAGAGGGGTTGTTCTTTCCATCACGTTAATCATGAGACGTGGCTGTCAATAAAAAGCATCAATATCTATGAAGCGACCTTATGGGCCCTCTCGACCAATCAGAAACAAACACTTCTTCACTCCATGGGTATTCAACATTATCAAACTTTGAACTCCGGATATTGCATTCCTAGTGTTGCGATTATTTAACTTAGTTTCAGTTGTCAACTCCTATAACGGGTCACCTTATGTTGAAAATAATTCACCCAAGTTTACTAGACTAAGCTGATTCTTATTTTTGGCAGGAAGCAAACGCTTTCCTATGAAGTGAAAAATTGTAAAACAAATGCCAGTCAATTTAATCTTGGTCAAAAAAGTTAAAGCCACAAGTGCGAAATAACACTATTCAATGTTACGTTTTTTTTGAAGCTTCACTTAAAACGTCTTTACTTGAATTTGAGAAAAAAAGCCGCCGGGTGACCTTCAAAATTCTAACATGACCTTTGGTTACAAGTTTTACCGTTTTGGCAGTTGAAAAAATCATTGAATCCTGGCCGTTTTGATCTTTAAAATTTTTCGTTAAAACATAATAATAATAATAATAATAATAATAATAAAATATACGTTAATTGAAGCTCCCCCTTAGGGGCTTTCCAGCCACGATGTAGACTAACTAAGAGCTTAAAAATCCCCACTGGCAGGAGGCAGACAAGTGGGCTATTTACAGGGCGCAGCCGAGGAGTTGAACTCGGGGCAACCGAGAACAAATCCAGTGAGTGGCAGGGTGGAGGACTTGAACCCGGGACACCGGATTACAAGTCCAGCACCCTAACCACTCGGCCACGCCGCCTCCTCNCGGTGGTAACCCGCTTGAACGACAGAAACAGGGTAACCACGTTTATCGAAAAACTGGCACATTGACTCTGATTTGTGGTGGAAATCAGAGTCATCACTACATAAACGACGAAGTCTTAGAAACTGAGAAAAAGGAATGGAATTCTTAACGTGAGATGGATGCGAAGACGAATATAACAAGTAATTATGCGAGTCTGTAGGTTTGTAATACACACTAGTGCATAAACCGTTACCTTCAATTGAAACTTTGATGTCTAAAAAGGATAAAGAATTGTCAGAAATTTCCCAGGTATATTTCAGAGCCGGGTGAAAAGAATTGACTGCGGTTATGAATTGAGTGAGCTCCTCTCTGGTAGAGGAGGTAGCGCCGATACAGTCGTCGATGTAGCGACCGTAGAGTTCAGGTTTGGACCCGTTGTATTGGCTGAAAAATTGATGTTCGACAAAACCTACAAAAAGATTGGCATAGCTAGGTCCCATTTTGGTGCCCATGGCTACACCACTGGTTTGTTTGAAGAAGTTGTTTCCGAATGAAAAACAATTGAGTGTGAGCACTAGTTCGGCTAAGCGTAGTAGTGTTTCAGATTTAGGTTCCTTATCAGTACATTGATCAAAAAAATGTTTAAGGGCCAGAAGGCCTTCGCCATTAGGAATGACAGTTTAAAGAGACGTAATATGTTGTAATTAGCTTTATTTAAATGCTACTAGCTAAAGCTGATTCGTTGCTGAGTTGGGAGTTATTTATCCTAAAAAATGTTTATAGTGTTAGTATCCACAGCTGCATCTCACAGAAACCTTTGTTGTCAACTATCAAGAATTTTAGACCTTTGAATTTAATATGCTAAATAAGATTAACAGTGAGTTTATTTTTTATCGTTGATGGAAGGTAAAAGAAGATTAAGATGCAATTAAGGAATTCGATATATTTTTCAGAGATTTGTTGTTGTATCCATCCCTTCTACCGTTTTTGAAACTTTAAAATTTCAGACTTCAATCAATACGACGTGCCTGTCAATAACAATTCTATCTGCATAAAAAGAATAAGATGATGAACGCAAATACATTTTAGTTTCATTTGGTTTGGTTTGTAGAGAGAACAAGAAAAATTTCAAGTTTTTACCAAGCTTAATTTCTATCTTTTGTTGTAGCTGTTCACTATATTAACATGAATGAAAGCCACCCGGATGAACTTCTCAGCAGTGCAACGTCCATCCTTTTATCACTGTGGCTCTCCTTGAGCAGTTTTGCAGCCGTAACTGGAAATGCAATTGTGTTGTGGTTGTTCTACAAAAACGAGTCTCTGCGAACAATTTCCAACCGTTTCTTGGCCTCGTTGTCCGTAGCAGACTGTTTGGTTGGGCTTGTGATAGACCCTGTGTGGATCGTCATCAGATGTTGGATTCAGCCACTGTCTCCTAACGTTTTGCACGAATTAACATTAATTTTGTGGATTCACACAACTGCCGCTACTACTTTCAGCATTTGCTGTGTTTCTGTCGACAGGTTTCTTGCGATTCGGTTTCCTTTCCGTTATCAGAACATTGTAACCAAGAAAAGATGTTACACAGTGATAATTTTGGTATGGTTGTTTTCATTGGGTCTTCCTTTCTCGAAGTTTTCGGTAAACAACGCGGGAGACAATAATAGTGCAATACTGTGGTTTTCTTTAACATTGATAACGTTTGTTTTTCCATTACTGGTAGTCTCATTTTCATACATATGTATTTTCAGAACAGCAAAAGAGCAATTTACGAGAATTTTGGTGGATGAAAATTCTCGAAATTACAACGAAAATATCAAAGTTCGTACATTGAAAAATTTTAAAGCTATCAAAACAGTCGGTTTTGTTTTAGGTGCTTGCACCATCACATGGATGCCCAGTTTGGTTGTAATGGTATTTGATATTTATTATGCTATCGTAAATAACAAGGAAAAAATGCGTTCATTGATGATTTTTATTTGGCCTTGGGTTGATGTAATTGCCTTTACTTCATCAGCAATCAATCCGTTTATATATTACTTTCGAAATGAAGAGTTTCGCCAAGCCTTTCGCCCTACCTTCCGTTGGTTTCCCTGTGGACTCACGGAGTAAACAAACTGGACTTAACTCAGGTCGACACTTGCAATGTTGGTACGAAATTTTATGAGATCTGGAGATATAGTGATTAAAGAGACAGACCTCTGAAAACATCTCAATCAAATCAAGACTTTGCTCCCATCAACAAGTAATATTGAAACGGACTGAGACTTTAATTTCTCTATTTTTCTGTTATAAATCTAGGACTCCTTGGGCCTTAATAATGTTGAAAGGGGAATGATTTAGAAATAATTCTTTCTCTATAAAATGCTCAAGGGAAATATTCCCATTGTAAGAGTAAAATATACAGGATAAATATACGAGATAAGTGAAAAATATGCAGAATATCGTTTACTTGCATTAATTCTAGGCTATGGAGATCATTTCAATTCAAATTCTTAGTCAGAAACGTCTGCGAAAAAAAGTGGTTAAGTTCACTAATTATTTCCAAGTCCTCTTAGGTTAAAAGTGTCAGCAGAAGTCGGCCTCTCGGAAATCAGTTATTTTGAGATTAATCCTTTCGCTCAAAGCATGTAACATTGCTACCGGTTGCTCGACTCGCAAGAATGATTAAGCAAACCACATCTATCTTTCAGTCCCTGGGAATCACCAAGTCTGGTTTAGTGGCTGTAACTAGTGGAAATGCAGCTCTGGTTGATCTGTAATGGCACACATTCCATCCCCATCTTAGACTTTTATCCCCGAAGATCTCTTTAAAAATTCTCCTTCCTGTCTGCCACACAATTCATAAGATGATAATTAATATTTGCAAAATTTGTTGTAGGATCAACTAATAAACCCCCAATTGATATCGTTCTTTATTCTCATCACTTGTCCGCTTGATATTGTACACGGTATTGTAAGGGGAAATTCACAGGAGTGAAAAGGGTGAACTCCGCT